CTTGTGTTGTGGAGTCTGAACGAAGCTCAGAGGATTGAGCCTTCTCAGATCAGCCACTGCTCAGACATGTGGAAGGTGTTTGCTTCTCCAGGGCTTTGGTGCTGAGGAGCAAAGAAAGCTGTTAATGTTGTCTGCTCCCCACAAATCCTCCTTTTTTTTTTTAGAGCCTCCCAAGGGCACTATTTTGGGCTGCATTTGGCATTTTGGGGAGGTTTATGTTTTCTGTGCAAAGTAACAAAATTCTCACAAAAACTTAGGAGAACAAAATGTTTTACTTTGGTTTTAGTTAGAGAAAGGGAGAAATAGGAGGAAAATCCCAATCTTTTCTCTAAGAGACAAAACCACCAGCCAGAAGGAAAATACACTCAGCACTGTGTTTGGGAAACTGTGAGAACAGCAAAGGTGTAGTTATATTAACTCGACTTTCTCAGCTTTATACAAACACATAAAACATGAATACCAGAGGGAATATTCTCCTGAACAAAGAATTAAGACACAAGCTTTTAATACCCTTAGCAGGAAAATCAGTTCATTTATTTAAACAGCAGTTTAGAAACCAGAAACAAACCAATAAAAAAAGCAGTTACTTTTCTATGTGTTTAAATCCTGGAGTTCAAATCTCTTGGTGGCTCCTAGGGAAGCCTTAGCTGTGCAGGAACTGTCAGGAACCAGCTGCTGACTGCAGCACAAAGACCCAAAGTGCTGGTGTAGTGGGCACAGCCTCTGGAGCCAGAGGAGCTCCTGGAGGAGTCAGGAGCTTGGGAAACACCAGCATTATTGCATGAGGGGAAAAGAGCTGTCTCCAAAAGGAGCACAGCTGAAGGTGGTGAGGCAGCTCCTGAGTCCAGCTTGGCCTGAGGCTCAGCTGAGAGCTGTGCAGCTTGCCCAGGGTCAGTGGTGGTGAGAGCTCTCCCAGCAGAGCTGCAGCAGGGACAGACTCACCCTGAGTGCCCGTGCAGGACCTGGAGCGTGGGCAGTGCTTTGCACTCTGGTTCTGGAGGTCTCACCTCCCTGTGACAGGTCCCCTGGACCTTGTGCCGACCGGGTCGGCCCTGGCAGAGGGTCAGTGCTGCCAGGGCTGGGCAGGACCACCTGCCCCCGTCCCAAAGCACTTGGGTCTCAGCTCACAGGATGGAAAACCAATTTGAGAAGGGGCAAAGGCACAAAGCTCTTCCACCTTTCGCTCCTTGTGGCACTCTGTTGTGAGGGAAGGCTGGGCAGGACCCAGACCCAGTACATGCTCTGGGTCCTCAACACAGCTGAAAACATTACCAGTCGTGGATACTGGTGCCTTAACCTGCTCTGCTCGAGCAGAACTCAGTTTGGAAGTGTCTAATAAAGGATATGGTGGACTGTTTCTTTTTATGAGATTAACCAAGAAACAAATTTTACTTCATATTTTAAGGAATTAGACTATATCAAATGTGTAATAAAAATATTTTCTATAGGATTTGAAAATATATACATATATAAACTACCTAAATTTGCAATGCCCTGTCGATACTGGTGTCTGCAGTGCTAAGTGTACCCAGGTGAGGCTGCCCAGCAACCTCATCGTACCCCGAGCAGTGACTGCAGAGCTCGGGGCCTTGTCCACACTGCAGATTAAACCTGCCTGGAACTGGGAGCTGAAACTGTCTGCTGGGCCTGAGCCCAGAGCCATGAATAGGCCCAGCAGGCTGAGCCCACTCCTGACTGCAGGAGCTGGGTTAGGTCCTGGGCACAGCCCCTTCCAGCCTGGTTGGCTGCCCAGGCTAAAGGAACCTGAGGGAGTCACTGAGAGCCTTGAAGGCACTTCTTGGTGAAATAACAGATAGTTTACTTAGAGTATTCAGGCACATAGAGAGACAGGACTAAGGCAATTTGGGCACATCTGCACACGATGTTGAGGAGAGGCCCAGACTGGCTGTGTCTCAGACACAGCCCTTGCCCAGGCACTGGATGTAGACTTCAGTCAAGCTTAAGCAAGGTTGAGAGCTTGGGGGTGGTGCTGGAGCAAAGAGCATTCAGACCTGCATCCTTCCCACAGCACCCATCTCTACATCCCCCGACGTGCTCGTCCAGCCCCTGTGGAGGAGTAACCTGCCAAGAAGAGCTGTCAAGTGGTCCACGGGGCTGAGCCAGCACCTCCATCCAGCAAACCAAAACTGGTGCTGGAGGGGGAGAGGGCAGAGAAGCAGAGGTGACTGTCCCTGTGGCCACTGAGGGCAGCAAGGACGTGGCTTTGGGCTGTGCCTCCAACACAGCCAGACCTGCTCTGCATTCCTGTTTCACCTGGCACTGTGTCTAAAGGAGTTCAGGTTCATTTTCCATGCAAGGTTCGAAGCACAGAGTAGACAAGGTGTGAGCTCCTGCTCTAGTGCAGGTGAATTCAGCACTCCCACTGGCCTGAGCACTCACCCTCGCACTATACTTTCAGGTAGGTAGCATGGGAGTTCTCCTGCTTCAGAGAGTTGATGTAGGGGATCTGCCCCCCTGCAGAGGAGAGTTTCTCACTGAGCTTTCGGTTCACCAGCTCCATGTGCCTGCTGTTCTTCCTGGCCTGACGCAGAGACCTCTTGACTTTCTTCACTCTGTCCCGTAGCTGCTTGTTGCGTTTCTCCAGCGTCGCCACCTTCTGCTGCAGCTTCTTCACCCTGTCCTCCTCCTCAAACAGGGCTTTCTGCACCGAGGAGCACATCAGCTGAGGGCAGCACAAACCAAACAGCAACAGGTGAGCTCCACACAAAGACTTACCAAAGCAAAGATTACTTCAGGTAACCTTGAAACCCCTCACAGCAGCAGAGTGCTCTTCTTGGAACTTGGATTCTTTTCTATACCTTTCTTAGTGAAATCCTCTCTTTCACTCCTGTATTCAGATCAGACCCAAAATTGCAGATCTTGATGATACTAGTGATTCACAATTACTTTATGAACTGTTTTGCCAGACCTGTCATAGAATCACAGAATTTTAGGGGTTGGAATGGAGCACAGAGCTCCCCCAGCCCCAAGCCCTGCCCTGGGCAGGGACACCTCCCACCAGAGCAGGTTGCTCAAGGCTCATCCAACCTGGCTGTGAACACTGCCAGGGTTGGGGCAGCCACAGCCTCCCTGGGCACCCTGGGACAGGGTCTCACCACCAGAACAGGCAAAACTTCTGCCTAAGGTCTAACCTAAATTTCTTCTCCTTCAGTCTGTGCCCGTTGCCCCTTGTCCTGTCCCTGCAGCTCCTAACACAGATCCCTCTGCACTTCCCTGGAGCCCCTTCAGCTCCTGCAAGGTGCTCTGAGGTCTCCATGCACCTTCTCTTCTCCAGTCTTCTCTGCCCAGCCCACCCAGGCCACACGGAGTTTGTGGAGGAAGGCTGTCCTGTTTCTAGGATGAAACTGGAGGTCAGGCCAAGTGGTGTCACTTTTGGAAGACTCTAGCTTTGATTCAGCCTAGCAGCCCTTCAGAACCCCTAGGTCCTGGCAAGAGCCTGTCCTTGGCTCCTTTGGTCACCACATGGAGTAAGGACAACACCTGCTAAACACACAACTGGTAACTTTGCCTTTTCAAGAGCTGAGTTGTCCTAAATACCTCCTTAAATAGGATTTCTTAAGGCAAAACCCTGAAGGGTAAAATCTCAGCAGTGTCTAGGACCATCCAAGATCTTAGCAGAAGTGATTATTTAGGGGGTCATTGGCTGGAAACTGCTTCTCCCGCTCCACCCTATACCAGCTCCCTGTGGCTTTGCCCCCGTAGGGATGTCAGGCTCTTGATGCTCACTCATGCCAGTGGCTCTTGGGGAGTAAAAAGAGAGATGGCTTCAAAGGTGCTGCAGCCAAGGCAATGCAAAACATCTGTTGGACAATTGTTCTTCCTCTACTGTCTCATTCTAGGATGGCCCAGAAGGTCTATCTCACCTCAGCTGTACGTGACTGCCACGTTTATGGGCTCCTGTTTCTGCTTGTTTCCTGTTTGTAGGTGCAGCAACAGGAATGGGATGAGAAACACCTTCTGCAAAGGCTGCAGTGCAGTCCCAGCACAAAGGAGTCAGCTCCTAACACAGTGTCACTTGGGATGGGATTCAGCTTCTCTAGAGCAGCTAAAAGTGAGACTCAGGTCTGGGCTCCTGTATCCCCTGTAGTGTCTGCAGGGAGAGAGACTCTTCCAGGGGCTGATCACCTCCTGGGGCAGAGGGGGGACTCACCCTCTGAACACAACCCTCTTGTTCTACTGACCACAGAGGCACCAACTTCCATTTTTTCTGCCTGGAGCACATTTTCCCAGCAGAAAAAGAGGCTCAAGGACAGCCACACCTAGAGGTTTCTGATCTAGAGGCGCCACGTTGAGCTCTATTTCTGCCCGGGGTCGTGTGCCTCCTTCCTTTTTTTGTCTCTAAAAAGCATCCTGAGATGTTTCATTGTGCACGTGTGCCTTTCTGCTGGGTGTGCTCTGGAGAAAGGCAGAGTCTCCTGCTGGATTCATCTCCTGAATACATCTAGAGTTTTTGTAATGTGTGTCAAGCTCTCCTGGAGTCTGGAGAAGCTTCTGGCAGAACATTTGGAACAGACAGGGAATCTAAACAAACAAGTCAATCCTCGCTGTGATGCTGGAGGATTACATGTTTCTTTCCGTCTTGCTTTGTAGTATTTTCAGTGGCTGAGGGCAGGGGAGGGATCCTGCTTTGATGAGTAACAGTCCATTTGCTTTGGAAACCCACAGCAGTGGGGAACCATGGCCAGGCAAGACAAACACTGCAACTGCTGCCAGTCCCTTGGCAGCTCTTATTTCTGGTGCAAAAGACCTGCAGGGTTTGCTAGAAGGCAAATCCTGCCCTAACTGGTCCCTCACTAGGGCTCTTTTATCTCTCCTAGGTGTGTCCTAGGGTGATGGGGGCTCACAGCTAGGCCCAGAAGTTGCCCTGAAGAGGAGGGAATTTGGGTTTACTCGCAGCTCGTTCCAAGAGCTGTTTGAAGATAGCCAGCTCATCTTGGCCTTTGTGTCTGCCAAACCCCTGCAAAGCTTCAGTCAGAACAGTTCCTGACTCTAAATCCCTGCCAGGGAGGACACTGAGTCAGGGAAAGATGTTTGTTGGGAAGACACAAGGTGGAAACTCTACTTCACGAGGGATTTCCTGCATTTTCCGTGGATAAAGTGATAGGCACAGCCTGTGCCAGAGCCCAGAGCTTCATGCAGCTGAAGTGGGAGGTGGTGTGAACCCAAGCCCAGCTCGTCTGCCTGGGCTGCCGTGGGGGAATGGCAGTGTCTGAGGGCAGAGATGGCACAGCCTTGTCCCAGAGGCTCTCCCAAACCTGCTGAGCATGGCCCTCTGTCAGCAGAGGTAGACCAGCTACAGAGCCACTTCTCAAACACCATCCAAAAGGTAACCAGCTCATTTGCTTATGCTGTTCCTTTTCCAGGTCCTCCCTCTCCAGCCTCAAACACGTGGTTAGGTGCTTAAAGTATCTGAAGATATCCAGAGGGATGACAGGAACAGCACAGTGAAAAAACCAGAGGTACTGTTGGGCATGCACAGCTTTGCCTGCCACAGGACAGGTGGTAGGAGGGAACCAGCTGGAAAAATAGGATGTCATTGGCCAAGATGACTGTGGGAATGTTTCTACGTGTGTAACAGTCCCAAGCTCTGCATGGACATGATGTGGGTTTAGAACTGGGCTCAGGTCACTTTAGCTTCTTGCCCTCAGCCCTGGAAAAGTGTCTGTCCAGAATATTCCCCAGCATCACCCCAGAACAGCCTGAGGCCGAGGACACAGCCCAAGTGCTGCAGGTTGGGGAGCACAACTCCTGCTCTTCTACAGAGCTTCCTCCTCACCACACCCCAGCGAGGTCAGTGCATCTCCTCACTGCCCTCCTTGTGCCCTTCCCTGATGGAAATCTGCTCCACAGAAAAGGGAAAAACTACCTGCATTTGCTGCATGTTGACTTGCTGCTTTGTGGTTCAAGTTAGCACTGTTCAGGTTACACAAAACATCTCACACTGGAACTTTGTGTAGTGCCTAGTGGGTACCTCCAGCTCTGTCTCAACAGAGCAGTAATTCATGTTCTCTCTCTCTCAAGGGTCTCAGAACCCAAACGTAGCTCTTGATTTGTCTTTAAATCCACCAGGACTTATTCAACCAACCCTTTCTGTGCTCTTAGCAAGACAGAGGGCTCTGTGCCCTGGGGAAGCTGCTAAGGATCACCTGCTCATGCAGGTGACCTTCACCTCTCCTGGCCAGGGAGGTCCTGTTCGAGCCCTGCCTTGCCATGGCCACGTTTCAGGCTCTGAGCATCACCTTCTCCTTTCACTCAGCCCTTCGGGCAGGCTGCGTGGGAGGGAGCGTGTTGCACGGAAAGAAGGACGGTGAGGCAAGGAATAGCAGGAGGGATCTGGCAGCACAGAGTGTTGGGTTTGGGCTGGAGTGACTTAACCTCCAGTAACTGGGATTTTTCAGCCAAGACTAATAGTGGTGCTGAGGCGTGGAAAAGCCCCTGTCAGCACGGGTGAAGTGGTGGGGCCTGGCACTGCTGGGGGAAGCCTGCTCTGCTCGCTGCAGGAGCTGCACCCCTCAGAGGGACCTCTGCCAGGCTACACCCACCCCGGGGGTCTCAGCACTCTGAATGGTGGTTTTCTTCCTCATCTCTTTCCTCACAAAAAGCTCATTTTCACTTCACACTCCTAAGGTGCAGCTAGTCAAGGGAAGTCACCTTTCCCAACAGTCACCAGAGAGGAATGAGCACATCCAAGAGGAGATTTCTTGCCTACCTTAGACACTTACCTTCAGCAGACTTTAGGGGAGCCCTGTCTAGGTAACTATCTCAGGCTGAGATGGTGCCCACCCCGAGCCCCATGGAGGGGCAGCTGGCATCACGGACTTGCCAGGGCAGGACAGGGAGTTTGGAGAAACTTGCACTGGAATCTGACCCAAATCCATGTCCATGGGCACTTGGGGGCCTTTAAATAAAGCTGTGTGTTTGATCTGCATCAAAACACTGCTGGTGTCAAGCTGCCCCAACTGCTGGTGGCTCCTGTGTGCAGTGTGTGTTGCCCTTCACCTTCCAACTCACAGCCCCTCACCCTGAGCCCAGGCTGGGGTGGCTTTAGAGGATGCACAGTGACTAGGAGGCATTTCAGGCCTGGTGACAAGACCCTCAGCCCAGGAGGTATCTGAAGGGAGGTCCCTGGCCCCAAAACCACATTAGAGCATGTCCTGGGGCATTGCTTTTCCCCAACGCTTTGAGCCCCAAAGCCTGAGAAGCTGCTGAGAGGGAGGATACAGAGATACCAGGTAACACTCACACCAAGTCTCCTCTGCCAGATTGGGAATGGGGTGGAAGCACATCTCTGCTGTCACTGCCAGTACCCAGGGAGGGATCAACACCTTATTCCCTATACTTGTGATGGAAAAAAAGGCAGTTGTTTAACAGGAATAGAAACCACACTAATCAAGAAGAGAGGAAAGAGAAAATAGAGGTGTAGGACATGAGCCAGACTTTCTACCACAGGCACCTCTCTTGTGCCAAGTGAGCAGATAAGTCAGTCCTGGCAGTAAATCCCTCAGTTCCCTCCAGGCAGTGGGAGACAGAAGGTCTCCAGGAAGAGAAAAATAAATCAGGAGGGTAGGACCTCACCCTGGGGCATCCCCATGTCCCTCACTGGGCCTGCAGGCTGGAAGGAGCACCCCAGGAGCAGCTCTGGAGGCAGAGGGACTCACTGCT